GAAGGTTGACTATTTGGTACAGATTCATGAGTGGTGATAAGAGCTATGTCGCTAATTATAGAGACATTTGCATACAGTCGGTGGTTCCTAAACTGGACGATAAGTTATTTTGTGAGAAACTTGGCATTGCAGGAGAATTCTGGCTGATCAACTGCATGGATTTATACAGGGTAGTAACAAATTTACTCGCCTAAAAACAATTTTTATTGAATGTCTTTGATAGGCTTGGTCAAGTGGATTCTATCTATACTGATTTCTCGAATTCGTTTGACCAGGTGAGTTATGAGCATCTTGTTTCTAAGTTAGAGCTATGGGCCTGGGTTGGTGCAGTGGATCTAGTGTTCCTGTGGGGTCATACTCAGTCGATTCGAATTGATAATTATGTCTCGGGTATGATATTTATTGTCACACTGAACCCATCTTTTTTAATTTGTTTATAAATGATATTGTCAGTGCAGTTTGGGAATCGCAGTGTCTTTTGTTTGGGGATGATTTGAAGATATTCAGGAGGATTGAATGGAGCAAGGATGATCTGCTGCTTCAGAGGGACAAGGACAGTGTTTGCATGTGGTCTAAGTTTAATAGCCTTGTGTTTAATGTAAAAAAACGTTGTATTAGCTTTAGTCATTCATTGAGTATGGTTCACAACCAATATAGCATTGAGAGTCGAGATCAAGGCTGTCACTAGCATTAAAGACTTTGGTGTTTTCTTTGATTCTGAACTAACAGGCCTACGTGAGTCCTTAGGTTTGTTTTACGCAAGGGTGGTCAACTTACTCCACATTGCTTTATACTCCTTTATATCTCTTTGGTTCGGTCTAGACCGGAGTATGCATTTGTGGTACAGTCTCCATATGATGACTGCCATATAGATAACATTGAAGCCGTTCAAAAAGTATTTTTAAGATCTTTGGCTTCAAAGGCGCATATCAATCTCTATACAGATCAACTACAGTATTATAAGCAGGGCCTTCAATATTGATACTCTTCAAACCAGAAGATTTTGCAGTGATTTAGTTTTTCTCTTTAAGATTTTGAATGGTTGGTATTATCATTCAGGTCTTTTACATAGCATACAATTTAACGCATATTAATAATAATAGCACTTTATTTCCAACAGGTAACATGACCCAATTACAGGAAATATTAAATATAAATCATCTATATATATATATATATATATATATATATATATATATATATATATATATATATATATATATATATATATATATATATATACATATATATATATATATATATATATATATATATATATATATATATATATATATATATATATATATATATATATATATATATATATATATATAGATGATTTATATTTAATATTTCCTGTAATTGGGTCATGTTACCTGTTGGAAATAAAGTGCTATTATTATTATATATATATATATATATATATATATATATATATATATATATATATATATATATATATATATATATATATATATATATATATATATATATATATATATATATATATATATATATATATATATATACTAGGGGACGTAGAAACTAATCTTAAATGTACTAATCTTATAACTAAAAAAAATGAAGAAAGATAGAATGAGAAAGAGAAAGAAAACGATAAGACTTATCGGTACGCATAACCCGACGCCATTCGAAGTTGCTGAAGTATGGCCTGGAGACCATCATAATATAAATCGCAGTACGATGATAGTTTGTTGAAGGTAGCACACATATTGTAAATAGGGTTTTGAAAATGGATATTGGACCTGGGTAACTGCGGTAAGAAAGTTGATTGATGTCTCCCTTCCAGCCGCGGCACATGAAAACGTAATTGTTCCAGAAGAAACGGACAATCGACTCCGTAATGAACTAACTTATAGAGAAATGAAACAGATTGCAAATCTCTGCGCAAGCTCAGGGGCAGTATAGAGAACCTTCTTAGTAGAAGATCGTGATCAACTCCCCTCTCAGGATAGGAACCGTCCTCCCTGAACGTTAGATACTTTAGTAACCTTCTCTGCACACTCTCAATGGACTGAGTGTGGCAGTTATAAATTGGTGACCATATCAGCGAGCCATAGTCAAGCTTGGACCTAACGTAACAGTTAAATAACAATTTAACAGTAGCTGAGCTACAAAAATGCCTGCAATTTTTTATTACGAATCCTAAAATTTGCATTGCACTGGAAACCATTTTTGTAATGTGAGGTACAATAGAGAACGACTGGTCAAATAAAATCCCCAGATCCTTCACAGTAGCAAGTCTAGTCAGGACAGTACCATCCGTATTGTAATTAAAGACTATAGGAGTTTTTGTGCGGTGGTAAGAAACCACATTACACTTGCTGATGTTAAGATGCAATTTATTTTTAGTACACCATTGACTGACAATATTGATGTTGTCCTGGAGAGTCATGCAGTCCATGCCAGTTTCAATGCTTTCGTATAGCTTTAGGTCATCCGCATAGGCAAGCTTGTTGCAAATGATCGAAGATACGAGATCATCTATAAATATATTGAAAAGCAGAGGTCCAAGATTAGAACCTTGAGGGACGCCAGAAGTTGGAACAAAAGGAACTGATCTAAACCCCTCAATCTCAACAAACTGTCGACGATTCACCAAATAGCACCTCAACACTGTAATCAGCGAATCAGAGAAACTAAATTTATGAGATGCTTTTTCAATCAGTAAGTGATGATCTATCTTGTCAAATGCTCTGTGGAAGTCAGTGTATATAACGTTAACTTGACCTTGCTTGTTCAGAGAGTCACAGACATACGAAGACAATGAGCATAAGTTAGTGATACATGATCTTTTCGCATAAAAACCATGTTGTTGCGTAGATAGTTTATTTCTAATTTGAGCAAAAATAAATTTATTTAATATAATCTCGAATATTTTAGAAAAGTTGCACAAGATCGAAATAGGCCGGTAGTTTTCAACAACAGAGGGATCACCTTTTTTGAGAATAGGATAAACTATGACATATTTCCAAGGCTCTGGATAAACACCCGTCTCAAGTATCAGGTTAAAAACCTGACATAAAGGAGCACACAGTGTGTGGGAACAGTCTCTCACGATAAAACTTGGTATGCCATCAGGACCAGCGGTAATTTTGTTCTTGAGTGCTTTGCTTGCTGACAAGACATCTTGGATAGTAAGCTTAGGTATGTTCACTAGTTCCGGATTAGAGGACACGCTTGAAGATGAACGTGGATCTGGCTGGGATATGGTATAAACGCTACCAAAGTACTTACCAAAAGCTGCAACAACCATATTAGGCCCTTGGCATGGCTGACTGGAATAGGACATCGAGGCTGGGATTCGCGAATCTGCCTTCTTCCGCTGAATAAATGACCAGAAATTGGTAGGACTATCATGTATAGTTAACTCAGCACGACGAAGAAAATCAGTATAGGCAATGCGTTGGAACTTGATTGACTTACGTAGCGCGGTATATCGGCCAAAATAATAAGCAGATTTATGTTGCTTGAAATTGCAGAAAGCTTTCTCCTTCTCAAATATAGTTGCGATCATTTCTTTAGTGAACCATGATGGAAATCGCCTTTGTCTCGGTGTTTTAGTGGGCGTGCAAAGGGCAAAAATATTGTTTAGCATGTCGTAAAAAAGTGTTAGAGCCCTGTCGACATCCGAGCACTCCATAACACTATTCCAGTCTGCATGTTGCATCAGTTCATACATATGAGGATAGTTGGCCATCCTAAAGTTAAATTCGGTTTGATCGTTCCTATTGATTGGAAAATTAGAGACGTGTGGAAAAGAGACTTGGAGAGAAACTATTAACGAAGGTTGCTGTGGATCCTCGTCGATAAATGGTACTGCGTTTCTCAATATCGCAACGTCGAAATTGGCGAAAACGAGATCTAAGCAATGGTGATTTAGGTTAGTTACAGAGTTATGCTGTTTAAGATTCAATATGGCGCTGAGGTTGAGTAGGGATCTATGTCGGACATTGACAGGAGCTGAAACAGTGAAAGAAGGAATATTGAAGTCACCCAATAACAAGACAGATCCACCAAACAACAAGTCCAGCGACGACAAAGATTCAAAAAAGTTCTCAACTTCGAAGTTGGCAGCAGTGGAAGGAATGTATACTAAAAATACATAAAATACAAAGTAATCTAAAGAGATCTTACAGCCTAAAAAGTCTATGCTTGGAGCACTGTTGCTGATGCCGGCGGTATCCAGAAGTGCAGACTCAAAACTGTCACGAACACCGAGCATGACACCACCGCCCCTGGAGACTCCGGTTAGATCTTGCCTTCTGTCTGAGCGGTAGACCAGATAAGAATCAGGAAAGAGTTCAGTAGCCCGAAAATCTGGTTGAAGCCAGGATACAGTAACAGCAACGATATCATGCCCTGAGGAAGTTACGCCACTGTAAAAGACATGGGTCCTAGTTCTGAGACCCCGAACGATTGTTGATATTCGGCGCCATCCGTGCAGTCCGTCCGCGGACTGCACTTTTAGAAAAAAATATATAAACACGACTAAGCCCGACCACGCGGAACTCAACTAAAACACTACAAATACTATTGTGTGAGCACTGTTTTTGATCGATTATTTGTTTCACGTCTGCCGAAGAACAACTAAAAGTGGCTGGTATGTTTTTAGCGCATTTAAAATGTGTTAGAACTACGGAAACTGGTGTTAAGCAGGTCCGACGGCGACAGGCATATTACAGATAACTCAATGTTCCGCATATCTTACTATCGCGCAAGTTATGGAGTTTATTCACTCCTTACTAGAATGCTGAAAGCGTGCAAATGTGTAAAGCTTGATCTTTTTGTCGGCAGCCTCCGCGAATTTGTTTCTGATGTGTTCCGTTTGAATGCATCCAGTTAATTCTATTTATTGCAATTGTTATATTTTGTTCTGGTTTCTGTGCCTTTAATGAATGTAAAAGTTTTGTAAATTGGCTAAACCCTAAATAAAATTTTACAAAATATAATAAAAAATCAGCATTTAATAAATATTATTTTTTGTAATACAGATTATAAATATGCACAATATAACGTAAAAATAACGAAAATTAAACGAACATACTAACAGTCGCATATGTAAAATATTTGTATGATGAATAATTTTTCTCACAGAGATTATTCATAACTTAAAAATGGGACATGATAATCACACTTAAAATTAAGACTAAACTAACAATCACAGATTCAAGATAATTGTAGGACGAATAGTTTTTTGTAAGACAGATTCTTATATATAAATATCCACAACGTAAGGAAAAAACTTAACGTCGCATACCAATTTGGCTTTTCATTTCTTTGTCCACTCTGAAGATATATTTATATATAAGTAAAAATAAAAGTAAAAATAAGTCATATAAGTAAAAATATTTACGTCACATAGTTAAAATCATTGTGGGATAAATAGTTTTTTGGGCTCTTGACACCGCCTAGCAATTTGACTTTCCATTTCTTCATCCACCCTGAAAATATACTTGTATATATTAACCAACCAAATTATTGCGACACTCCCTGCCTCTTATTGCAACATTGTTTTTTTTTTCACAAAACAACAAATACTTTAGAATTTAAAAATTTACTTAAGATTTAATAACACCTGCGAAAAGCTGTAAATCAAGATCGACTTACCTAGGCCTCTTAAAATCATGGATCAACTCGGAAGCATCTTAATCCACTTCCTAAAAAATATGTCACGTGTTTAGCAATAACTCAGATCATCCCCTACTCCAAACTTACAGCATTAGTGGACGAAGACGTCCTATTTTCGCATACGGATGCATCGCATTTGCAAGTGCCCATGCATATTTTATTCGCTTTTCTACAGCCGCATCTGACACTGTTACATTTTGTTTTGCAAGTGCATCCATCGTTCAACAAACGTGTCCGTCCCCTGCGTAAATCTTAATAAAAATATTGTTAGAGCAGGTTTTAGCGTTCATCAAAAGAAAAAAAAAACTTAAATAAGAACATACTTATAGCACCTCATTTAAACGATAATTGAAAAACATTTCGTCAATTTTTTATATTAAATCAAAGTCGCTCCTAGTTTTTTTCTACACTCTATGGTTCTTGATCATTGTCGTATGACAAATGTTTACTATTACCTAATCGATTTTGTTTTTAAAATGCAATTAAAAAATAATAAGAAAAATAAAAGCGAACAGTTCAATTGTCATGTTTGATGTCGCGGAATTACTGAGCAACACTACCGAAACCAGGAGGAGTAATGCACTCTTTAAATTACATGATGTAATTTCAATAACACCCTGACTATTCAGAACACCTGTCAAGACTTTGCTGTCAAGAGTGCACTCATATAGTCTAAACGCATCAAACATTTGCCCATAAAAGCGACATATCGCTGGTTAAAACCAACTCATTCCAAAAGCCGCCAGAGGCAAATAATTCCTAATATAATGAAACTTGAGTGCAGACTTACATCTTGCATTCTTTGAAACCTTACTTGAAGTTAATTTGGCATGGTGCGTAGCTTTCTATTAGCGCCACTCGTTTTATCCACATGAGTTTAAATTATTACAGAGCTAAAGTGGGAGCTCGTCAGAGTATGGGGATAGATTTGAATCGTTGGATCTTTATTTACATATTGCTTTAATAATTATTGCAATTTTTTTAACTTCCAGTAAAGTTCTGTAAAATCAGACGATTTTATTAGTGTATCATTATTTTCAGAATTGTTTTCTAAATATAGATTACTAACAACTTTTTGTTAATTGGACATTTTGTACAAGAACTTCAAATTAAAGAAGAAGAATTAAAGAAAGAATTAATATCAACAGGTATTATTGGACTGCCCCGAGACCCCACCACGACTACTGGTGGAGCGTCTGATCTTGTTGGGTGTTTATTAATGTTTGATATTATCTCCATTCATCTATGAACAATTTTTATAATATATTATTACTAAATAAAAAATGATACACCGAATTATTTTTGTTTCATACTTGTAAATGTATAGATGGATAAGCTAACTCACCTTGTACCGAAATCTGACTTTGTTTGATAATTTTTTTCTTTTTCGCTATTACTCTCTTGCCTAATGGCGTTTTTCGCCAATCAGGATCGTTAATAAGATCGTCGCCGAACGAATCTTCGGGTTCTGATGCGTCTATCTACAAAATTAAGAGTATATATTTCTCATATAAATCATAATCACCCCCCAAAAAACTTACAGGTTCTGCAAGTTTATCATCTTCTTCAATGCTCTCAACAACAGTCGATTTGTTTCTTTTCCTTGAATTTTGGGATATCGGGACATTCTCCAAATTGGCTTTCTAAACACAACAAAACAAAAAAGAACATTTTGCAACCAAAATTTACTTGAATCTTACCTCATTCTCTTCTAATTTATTCTTTAACTTATTTATTAGTTTTTGCTGCTCTTCTATCTGTTTTTCTTGTTTCTCAATTAATTCCTTTTGAGTCTGGCATCGAGACAATCCGGAATCGCCATTTTGACCTAGAGATTATTAAAAATGAAACACCTTTGTCTGCGTTTACATATTTGGGGTGAATAACAAACATACAAGTCTCTATTAATAACACTTCTTAAAATTTTATACCAAATTATATGATTTGGATTTGTGAGTAATGAAGGATGGAAAAAGTAGGACTTGTCAAATGCTTTTCTTCCGACACACAGGATGTTCAAATATTGCGATTTTTTGTAACAACACGAATTATCTTAATTTAGTTTGCAATTTTCAGTTATTTTAGGTTTTATTGTTATATTGTTAGAGCAGGTTTTAGCATTCATCAAAAGAAAAAAAAAAACTTAAATAAGAACATACAGCATTGCGCCTCGATATTGAACATTTTCAACATACTTATAGCACCTCATTTAAACGATAATTGAAAAACATTTCGTCAATTTTTTATATTAAATCAAAGCCGCTCCTAGTTTTTTTCTACACTCTATGGTTCTTGATCATTGTCGTATGACAAATGTTTACTATTACCTAATCGATTTTGTTATTAAAATGCAATTAAAAAATAATAAGAAAAATAAAAGCGAAAAGTTCAATTGTCATGTTTGATGTCGCGGAATTACTGAGCAACACTACCGAAACCAGGAGGAGTAATGCACTCGTTAAATTACATGATGTAATTTCAATAACACCCTGACTAATCAGAACACCTGTCAAGACTTTGCTGTCAAGAGTGCACTCATATAGTCTAAACGCATCAAACATTTGCCCATAAAAGCGACATATCGCTGGTTAAAACCAACTCATTCCAAAAGCCGCCAGAGGCAAATAATTCCTAATATAATGAAACTTGAGTGCAGACTTACATCTTGCATTCTTTGAAACCTTACTTGAAGTTAGTTTGGCATGGTGCGTAGCTTTCTATTAGCGCCACTCGTTTTATCCACATGAGTTTAAATTATTACAGAGCTAAAGTGGGAGCTCGTCAGAGTATGGGGATAGATTTGAATCGTTGGATCTTTATTTACATATTGCTTTAATAATTATTGCAATTTTTTTAACTTCCAGTTAAGTTCTGTAAAATCAGACGATTTTATTAGTGTATCATTATTTTCAGAATTGTTTTCTAAATATAGATTACTAACAACTTTTTGTTAATTGGACATTTTGTACAAGAACTTCAAATTAAAGAAGAAGAATTAAAGAAAGAATTAATATCAACAGGTATTATTGGACTGCCCCGAGACCCCACCACGACTACTGGTGGAGCGTCTGATCTTGTTGGGTGGCTTTATTAATGTTTGATATTATCTCCATTCATCTATGAACAATTTTTATAATATATTATTACTAAATAAAAAATGATACACCGAATTATTTTTGTTTCATACTTGTAAATGTATAGATGGATAAGCTAACTCACCTTGTACCGAAATCTGACTTTGTTTGATAATTTTTTTCTTTTTCGCTATTACTCTCTTCCCTAATGGCGTTTTTCGCCAATCAGGATCGTTAATAAGATCGTCGCCGAACGAATCTTCGGGTTCTGATGCGTCTATCTACAAAATTAAGAGTATATATTTCTCATATAAATCATAATCACCCCCCAAAAAACCTACAGGTTCTGCAAGTTTATCATCTTCTTCAATGCTCTCAACAACAGTCGATTTGTTTCTTTTCCTTGAATTTTGGGATATCGGGACATTCTCCAAATTGGCTTTCTAAACACAACAAAACAAAAAAGAACATTTTGCAACCAAAATTTACTTGAATCTTACCTCATTCTCTTCTAATTTATTCTTTAACTTATTTATTAGTTTTTGCTGCTCTTCTATCTGTTTTTCTTGTTTCTCAATTAATTCCTTTTGAGTCTGGCATCGAGACAATCCGGAATCGCCATTTTGACCTAGAGATTATTAAAAATGAAACACCTTTGTCTGCGTTTACATATTTGGGGTGAATAACAAACATACAAGTCTCTATTAATAACACTTCTTGAAATTTTATACCAAATTATATGATTTGGATTTGTGAGTAATGAAGGATGGAAAAAGTAGGACTTGTCAAATGCTTTTCTTCCGACACACAGGATGTTCAAATATTGCGATTTTTTGTAACAACACGAATTATCTTAATTTAGTTTGCAATTTTCAGTTATTTTAGGTTTTATTGTTATATTGTTAGAGCAGGTTTTAGCATTCATCAAAAGAAAAAAAAAATTAAATAAGAACATACAGCATTGCGCCTCGATATTGAACATTTTCAACATACTTATAGCACCTCATTTAAACGATAATTGAAAAACATTTCGTCAATTTTTTATATTAAATCAAAGCCGCTCCTAGTTTTTTTCTACACTCTATGGTTCTTGATCATTGTCGTATGACAAATGTTTACTATTACCTAATCGATTTTGTTTTTAAAATGCAATTAAAAAATAATAAGAAAAATAAAAGCGAAAAGTTCAATTGTCATGTTTGATGTCGCGGAATTACTGAGCAACACTACCGAAACCAGGAGGAGTAATGCACTCGTTAAATTACATGATGTAATTTCAATAACACCCTGACTATTCAGAACACCTGTCAAGACTTTGCTGTCAAGAGTGCACTCATATAGTCTAAACGCATCAAACATTTGCCCATAAAAGCGACATATCGCTGGTTAAAACCAACTCATTCCAAAAGCCGCCAGAGGCAAATAATTCCTAATATAATGAAACTTGAGTGCAGACTTACATCCTGCATTCTTTGAAACCTTACTTGAAGTTAGTTTGGCATGGTGCGTAGCTTTCTATTAGCGCCACTCGTTTTATCCACATGAGTTTAAATTATTACAGAGCTAAAGTGGGAGCTCGTCAGAGTATGGGGATAGATTTGAATCGTTGGATCTTTATTTACATATTGCTTTAATTATTGCAATTTTTTTAACTTCCAGTTAAGTTCTGTAAAATCAGACGATTTTATTAGTGTATCATTATTTTCAGAATTGTTTTCTAAATATAGATTACTAACAACTTTTTGTTAATTGGACATTTTGTACAAGAACTTCAAATTAAAGAAGAAGAATTAAAGAAAGAATTAATATCAACAGGTATTATTGGACTGCCCCGAGACCCCACCACGACTACTGGTGGAGCGTCTGATCTTGTTGGGTGGCTTTATTAATGTTTGATATTATCTCCATTCAACTATGAACAATTTTTATAATATATTATTACTAAATAAAAAATGATACACCGAATTATTTTTGTTTCATACTTGTAAATGTATAGATGGATAAGCTAACTCACCTTGTACCGAAATCTGACTTTGTTTGATAATTTTTTTCTTTTTCGCTATTACTCTCTTGCCTAATGGCGTTTTTCGCCAATCAGGATCGTTAATAAGATCGTCGCCGAACGAATCTTCGGGTTCTGATGCGTCTATCTACAAAATTAAGAGTATATATTTCTCATATAAATCATAATCACCCCCCAAAAAACTTACAGGTTCTGCAAGTTTATCATCTTCTTCAATGCTCTCAACAACAGTCGATTTGTTTCTTTTCCTTGAATTTTGGGATATCGGGACATTCTCCAAATTGGCTTTCTAAACACAACAAAACAAAAAAGAACATTTTGCAACCAAAATTTACTTGAATCTTACCTCATTCTCTTCTAATTTATTCTTTAACTTATTTATTAGTTTTTGCTGCTCTTCTATCTGTTTTTCTTTGAGTCTTTGAGTCTGGCATCGAGACAATCCGGAATCGCCATTTTGACCTAGAGATTATTAAAAATGAAACACCTTTGTCTGCGTTTACATATTTGGGGTGAATAACAAACATACAAGTCTCTATTAATAACACTTCTTGAAATTTTATACCAAATTATATGATTTGGATTTGTGAGTAATGAAGGATGGAAAAAGTAGGACTTGTCAAATGCTTTTCTTCCGACATACAGGATGTTCAAATATTGCGATTTTTTGTAACAACACGAATTATCTTAATTTAGTTTGCAATTTTCAGTTATTTTAGGTTTTATTGTTATATTGTTAGAGCAGGCTTTAGCATTCATCAAAAGAAAAAAAAAACTTAAATAAGAACATACAGCATTGCGCCTCGATATTGAACATTTTCAACATACTTATAGCACCTCATTTAAACGATAATTGAAAAACATTTCGTCAATTTTTTATATTAAATCAAAGCCGCTCCTAGTTTTTTTCTACACTCTATGGTTCTTGATCATTGTCGTATGACAAATGTTTACTATTACCTAATCGATTTTGTTTTTAAAATGCAATTAAAAAATAATAAGAAAAATAAAAGCGAACAGTTCAATTGTCATGTTTGATGTCGCGGAATTACTGAGCAACACTACCGAAACCAGGAGTAATGCACTCGTTAAATTACATGATGTAATTTCAATAACACCCTGACTATTCAGAACACCTGTCACGACTTTGCTGTAAAGAGTGCACTCATATAGTCTAAACGCATAAAATGCTAACCCATAAAAGCGACATATCGCTGGTTAAAACCAACTCATTCCAAAAGCCGCTCGAGGCAAATAATTCCTAATATAATAAAACTTGAGTGCAGACCTACATCTTGCATTCTTTGAAACCTAATTTGAAGTTAGTTTGGCATGGTGCGTAGCTTTCTATTAGCGCCACTCGTTTTATCCACATGAGTTTAAATTATTACAGAGCTAAAGTGGGAGCTCGTCAGAGTATGGGGATAGATTTGAATCGTTGGATCTTTATTTACATATTGCTTTAATAATTATTTCAATTTTTTTAACTTCCAGTTAAGTTCTGTAAAATCAGACGATTTTATTAGTGTATCATTATTTTCAGAATTGTTTTCTAAATATAGATTACTAACAACTTTTTAGTTATTTTAGGTTTTATTGTAGCAAAAAAACTAAAGAGAACAACGAAGAACTTTTGAGCATAAGTTTATATCAACTTTTTTACTTTCTTCATTATAATTCGGACTATACGGTGTTCATCGGTTAAAATTGTTTATCAATCCTCTAAACTCTAAAGGGAACCCTACCAAAAGCGTAAGCCGTAATATAATAATCACTATAACTGATGTTAAGTGAACCACTGAAGGAAAACCAATTAAAATTTTTAAAAAACGACCCACTCACTTCCATTTTCGATTCCTCTAAGTTGCCTCAATAATATCGCCACCTTTTCTTCATACACCTGTTGCTGGTTGGACAGGATATCCCTATATTTGTCTTCAGTCAGTTTTAAGGTATGGGCGTCTCTTTCATTTTTCTCTGAAAGTACTTTATTAATCTCCATCAATTCGCTACATTTATTTTTGCACTGAACAAATTTCTTGAAAAATTCTTCGGCTTGCTCAAACAATAATTTGAGCGCATATTTTGCCTCTGCCATAGATTGGATTCTATCAAACCTAGTTTTTGGTTTCTCTATAAAATAGAAAAAAAAGTTTACAGTAATTGTATTTTTTTTTACTAGCCTTTATCAAAATCCAGCAACTTCAGTTGTAAATCTTGAATTTGCACAGATCTTAATTCAATATCATCTTTAATCGTTTTTGTTTCGTTCGACTCGGCAGTTTTCGGATTCTTCATCAGTTCATCTAATTGCTGTTGTAAAATTGCTCTATCATCTAGCAATCCACTTAATGTTGTCTCTAACTCTATCAGGTTCATCATGATCTCTAATTCTTGTTTAAGCTAAAAACACAGGAATCTTTTATTTTAGGTTTTTTTTTTTTTAATTACGCTTTATTTGGCCGCTGCTGCTAAGGCAATTCGGCCAGCTTCTCGGTAGTGGTGTGCAATAAACTATTTCCATGAAGGATGCCTCCGTAAAGAGGGTCTGGGTGATACCATCATCCTACTGGACGGCTATACAGGAAAAAAAAATGGACGAAAGAATTAGAATATGTGAAAACAATATTCAAAGTTTTAATCCACATGCATCTAAAAAGCGGCAAACAATTCTAGCAGCAAAATCCAACTGAGTGCGGTGAAATAAAATGGAATTAATATGCAGAGGCGAAGGAAAATTAGCACTAATGAGTGACTCATACAACTGTTGTGATTTTTCCCAATGAAGAGCACAATCAAACAGCACATGACTAAAATCGCCCAGTTCTCCACATTCACAGTCTCCGGAGAGTTTGACTTTGATTCTCTTTAGGTGAGCCGGAGAACAGCAATGGTTGCTTCTCAGTCTACACATAGTTGTGATTTCTCTTCTATTCAGGTCGAGCTTATGAAACCAGGGTTTAGTTGGCGGAGTAGAATAATGTGAGGTGAAATTAACTCCTTTCCCTAATCCTATATGTTTCCATCTGTCGCTCCAAGCATTTCAGATGTTATGCTTTAATTTAGGGAAGAATTCCCTAAAGCTCAATTTTATATTTTCCTGTGGTTCGAGGCGTGCAGCATTGGCGATCTGGTCCGCAATATCGTTTTCTTTTATACTGGTATGGCTTGGTATCCAGCATAATTGGATGTCCTTATTTTGAGTTTTTATTAAGGTAAATAGTTTATTCTTAACCTGCAAGGTTAGGTAGTTAGACTTTGCACCCATCCCAATTTTATTGATATCTTCGAGGGCACTTTTGGAGTCTGAAAGGATGACTGCTTTGTTGATCTCCTTGAATTCAATCCAATCAAGAGCTTGACCAATAGCATAAATCTCGGCAGAGCAAATGGATAGTTCACTTGGTAGGCCTTGTCCCATTTTTTTTAAGGTTCGTATTGTAGTTGTAAACGCCAAAACCTGCTCGGCCTTCTTTATCTTTTGAGGCGTCTGTAAAAATTAAATGAAAATCTGGGGTCCAAGTCTCGCTCTTCTTAATTTCAAATAATTTGGAGTTATTATTATCTTTCTTTAGTTTTAAGTCTTGGATTTGAACAGAGCTTAAAAGGTTCGGCAGTGGACAAGAGAAACAGGGATAAAGTGGGCTCCTGTAAAGTGTATCTAACAGTGAATCAACTCTTTCAAAAGCATCCACAAGTGCAAGAATACTCTTTTTCCGAAAAAAGTAATAGTTTTCATTATAGGTGATATATAACCATCTAACCGCAGCTAAGGTTTCACTGTCCACTAAACTGGCAGCTTTCAATAATGATTTAGTTGCTAGCATGTATCTTCTGTGTTCTAAATCCATTTCACTTGCTTCCCCTAGAAGTATGTTAGTAGGTGTGGACTTCATATATCCCAGAGCTATTCTCAGTGCCTCAAATTGAATTTTGTTAAGTTGAGCAATAGACTTTCTTGAGCTACCACCCAAAAAAGAGGCTCCATAATCCAAATGGGGTCTAACATAAGCTTTGTAAAAAGTTAGAAGGGTAGAGGGATGTGCCCCCCACCAGATTCTACTTATAAATCGCATCATATTCAACCCACCTGAAGCTTTCTGTATCATATTTCTAATTTGTGGCTCCCATGACAGCTTTGGATCAAAAATCACTCCTAGATGTGTGATGGAATTTCTCCATGCAATGGTTCGAGTGTTGAGGTGAAGTCTGGGGAGATAATTAACCTTGTAATTCTTCCTGGAAAAAAATATAGATGCAGATTTATTGGGGTTAATCTCAAGTCCTACATTCAAAGACCAAATATGCATATTTTGCAAAGTTCTATTCAAATTGTTCACTATTGTTTGGGCATCAGTCCCAGTACTCAGCAAGGCGGTATCGTCCGCAAACTGTAAAAGTCTTATGTTCTCAGGAATTGTTTTGTTTAATTGAATTGATGTAAATATTAAATAGTAATAGAGAAAGAGGGGAACCTTGGGGAACTCCCTTGCTGGTGGTTCTGCCTGACACGAATGTATTAGTAGATGGATCTTTAACTTGTATCTTCCTGTTCGTGAGAAAATCTTTAATGAGCAAAGTCAAATCTCTGGCGATTCCAATTTTGGCCAACACCGAGGTCAATAGTCAACATTTATATTATCGTAGGCATTGGATATGTCCAAAGTCACCATTGGTGCTAGTTGATTGCGAGCCAAACGGCAGAGGACCTCTGAGGAGATAACTGCAAGATTGTCGAAAGTTCCCTTACCCTTTCTGAAACCAGTTTGGCGAACGTCTATTAAACCTTGGTTCTCTACGAACCATTCCAGTCGGTTTTTGATCATAATTTCAAAAGTTTTGCTTATGCAAGAAGCTAGGTTGATGGGCCTGTAGGACGATAACGCTGAGGGGTCTCTCCCCGGTTTAGGAATTGCGATCACCATTTGGGTTTTCCACGTCTCTGGAATGGTGGTTTCCCTCCGAAGTATTTTGTTGAAAAATTTGATAAGAAAGACTGCTCCTTCAACAGGGAGATGGCTGAGCACACTGAAAGGTACTTTATCCACACCGGGACTCTTGCTCTTCCGACCTATAACAGCCGCGACAAATTCTGAGATATGGAAGTCTTCGGTATATTCTGATGAGAAGCGACATTCGGGGAGGTTACGCAACATAGAGGGAGGTTGCGTCAAAAGATCAAACATATCTTGTGGGATTGAGAAATTCAAGGGAAAATGATAATTTTGGTACCTGATACCTTTAGCAAACCTTCTAATACTGCTCCAAACTTCTTTTGCACTAGTGTTTGGAGATAGATTCTCACAAAAGTTGACAAAGCCTTCCTTTTTCTTCTTACGTAGCAGCTGTCTTGTTTGTGCCCGTGTTCTTAATGATTCCAGGAAATTGGTCTCAGAGGGGTTGTTTTTATAATCTCTGAATGCTTGTCTTTTCCTTTTAACAGCGTTGGTGCACTCATTATCCCATCAAGGTAACCCGTAGTTTAATGAGTGTTTATGCATTGGAACAGATTCTGCAATAGATAGGAAAATTATATTCATAAAATCCTCATAATTTATAGGAGGTGAAGTTCTAAATTTCGTGGAGATTATATTGAAATTATATTTGCTAGTGTAGTTTCTTGTCGAACCTGAGTTGCAACGGTTATTTCCGATGATACCACAAAATAGGAAAATGATCGCTATTCACTCTATCCTGGAGAACCCTGCAGTCAGTAAGTCCAGACAGTCTCTGGGAGCAAAAAGCTACATCTGGAGCGCTGTGTACGCCTGGGCGTGTGAGCCGAGTAGCTGATCCATCATTTAGTACCCACAAATCGTGATCCTTAATAAAATCATAAAGAATGTTCCCACTTCTAATTCCCCGTGAGTAACTGACCTGGGAACCCCATATTGGATTATGGGCATTAAAGTCTCGCATAAAGAGGACTGGTTTATTACGGGTCATTACGAGGCACCGGGCGCACCTCGGGGAAGGAAGCCTTACCTCTGCATGCGGGGCTCTGCAGAGGTGGACCGTTATGTTTCCCTAGCTACTCGTGGGACCTTTATGGAACCAAAAATGAAATGCGAAGTAATGAAGAAGGAGGAGGGGACCCAGGGGGGCTCCAGCAAGCAGGGGCGTCCTCAGGAAGGCCCCCTCCAAGGGCGATCCGAACAGGATCCCCAGGTCGCCAGCGGGGTGGAGGGCTCGGTACAAACCGGGAACACCACCTCGATGACACACCGCCCCAGACATAGGAGTGGGGCGGAAAAAAGGAGGGCGAAGAAGAAGAGACTCGCGGTGACGGTTTCGGAACCGCAGACGGGCTCTCTTCCGGCGCCCAGGATTCCTGCCACGCCGTCAACGGAGGGCTCCATAGGGGGCACACCGGAAACGGCAGGCGGGAAGCGGAAAAGAAAAATGGGAGAGACCACCCAGGTTGGGGCACCTGCCGGGGGTCGGCGGCCGACACGTGGCCCGGCGAAAGCTAGGCCCGGGAAAGGCGGGCCGTCCCGGGGGGGCTCTGAGAGGGGGGCTCGGTCCTATGCACAAGCGGCGGCGGGGGGGCCTGAACTGGTGGTGGGCCTCAGAGGACAGGAAACTGACCTGTCTTCCGAGGACCTGCTGCGGTTCATAGGGTCTCTTAACCTCCGCATAAGCATGTATATCATGCAGGGGGGGCAATACACCCCTCCCCGGATACGCTCGGTTAGGCTGTGGAGGAGCCACATCCTGATCGAGATGATGGATGAAGAAACCAGGGAGTGGGTTCGCAGGGAGCTGATTAACGTCAGGCCCTGGGGGCTCGCAAACCTGGTGGAGGTCGATCCGGAAGGATTGAGACTGAGAAGGGCGGCGATATGGATTCCGGGCCTGGGAGCGGGTGTCTCGAATGAGGCACTAGTCCGCTGCCTGGCAGCTCAGAATGGCCTAGATTGCCGTGCCTGGAGGGTCTGGCAGAGGACGGAGGATGTAAGGGGCACAAGGTTGGTGGTGGGCGTGGACGAGAAATCGGCAAGCGCCATCACGGCTAAGGGCTCACTTCTCTTCTGCCTGGCGACACAGGTAAAAGTGAACCTGGCGGCGCCGAAGCCGCAGGGGGATGAGGTGGCCGCGGGGGGCTCACGCGAGGAGGGCTCGTCCATGGAGGTTGGCGGGCCTGTCGGAGAGGCGGCGCCCACGGCTTCTGTGGAGGAGACCTCCGGAGGGCCCTCCGAGGAAGCGAGAACCGAGGAGGTATCTCAGATGGAAGTTGACCGGGGAATCCCATCAGGGTCCACCAGTCAGGAAGCGGAAGCGGAGGGAGGTGCTACCTCGGGCTCGGATTCGGGCTGAGGCTAGCATCGTGACCCGCAGGTGGTATTCCCGCAATAACATCTTCACGGGGATATTACAGATTAACCTGCAACACAGCAGGGCTGCAACGGCCCACTTATGCAGGAAAATTTCGGAGGGCGGTACATCTATTGTACTGATCCAAGAGCCCTGGATTGTAAAATCAAGGGTTAGGGGCTTATCTCTGGGAGGATCGATGCTGCATAGTGTTGACTCCTTAGAGGACGGTCCCAGGGCCTGTATTCTAACCATGGGGCTGGAGGCCTTTTTCCTAAGGGATAAGGCGTCCAGGGACCTGGTTCCAATTCTGGTCAGATCCCCCACTCGGGACGGCGTGAGGGAGGTAGTGGTCGCCTCTGCGTACTTTCCGGGCGACCGCAGCTGTCCTCCGCAGGAGATCAGTGACTTGGTCTCCTACTGCGAGGAGGCGAATCTTCCTCTTTTGATTGGCTGCGACAGCAATGCTCACCACGTTTTGTGGGGCAGCGCGGCAACGAATAGAAGGGGGGGAGACCTCGTGGAGTTCATGGCCTCTGCAGGGCTGCAGGTGGCCAACAGAGGGGTAGAACCCACGTTTTTCACGACGGGTCGGAGCTCGGTCATAGATTTAACACTTTGTACCAGGGCTCTGCTCCCGGAAATAACTGGGTGGTGTGTCTGTGGGGAAGACTCTATGTCGGACCATAGATACATCACCTTTGGGTTGGAGATGGGTGTTCGGGAACCCATTAGATTTAGGAACCCCCGGGCAACAAACTGGGAACTCTATAGAGAGGAACTTGCTTGGCGCCTAGGGGGCTTACCAAGGAAACACCGCACAGTGGAGGAGATTGACGAGGCCGCCGACCGAGTCAGCTCCGCTATGATGCGGGCGTTCGAGAATAGTTGCCCTGAGACAGAGGAGCATAGGGCGGGAAGGACTCCTTGGTGGAGCTCTTCCCTGGAGCGTCTCAGGAGGAAAGTGCGGAGGCTGTTCAATACAGCGAGGAGCAGCAGCCAAGGTGCGGACTGGGATCTCTATAGGGAGGTCCGCAGACAGTACAAAAAAGAACTACGGGCATCACAGAGGAGGGCCTGGAGGGGCTACTGCGACGGAGTAATGAATACCCCGGACGCGGCTAGGCTCCTTAGGGTACTCAGAAGTGACCCTGCGGGAAGACTGGGGGTGGTCCGCAGGACCGGCGGTGGCTACACAGCGGGACCAGCGGACACACTACAACAGCTGCTGAACACGCACTTCCCAGGGTCCGCTGATCCGGACACAGGGGAGAATATTGAAGCCGGGGGTCGTCTTGGAGGCGACTACGCCACGGCAAGGAGGGTGGTTACCCACAGTAGGCTGAGGTGGGCTATTGACAGCTTTGGCCCCTTCAAGTCGGCGGGCGGGGATGGAGTTTTTCCGGCTCTGCTGCAAAGGGACGGAGGTCTCCTGACCAGCCCGCTGATGGACCTGTTCAGGGCCTCCATTGCGAGGGGGTACGTGCCCGAGCTGTGGAGACACAGCAGGGTAGTGTTCATTCCCAAGGTAGGGAAGAGTGACTACACAGACCCGAAGTCGTACCGGCCTGTTTGCCTCACCAGCTTCATTATGAAGACTCTGGAGAGGCTGGTGGACCGGTATCTGAGGGACTGGGTGGAGCTGGAGGCCCCTTTAGAGCCAGCTCAGCATGCGTACCGAAGTGGCGGGTCTGTGGGCTCAGCTCTTCACCATCTGACTTCCAGGTTGGAGGAGGGTATGGGCTCGGGACGGCTGTCGGTGTGCGTGTTCGCTGACATCGAAGGGGCTTTCAATAACACGGCCCTGTACTCGATCTGCAGGGCGGTGGAGAGTACTGGAGTGGGGACGGCCATTGTAAGGTGGATCCGCTCCATGCTAACCGACAGGAGGGTCGAGGCAAGACTGGGTGGGGAGCAGGTCTCCATCGGTTCATCACGGGGTTGTCCACAGGGCGGGGTCTTGTCCCCGTTCCTGTGGTGCCTGGTGGTGAACGAGATATTGCATATTCTGAGGGAAGAACACGGGGTCTATGCTCAGGCATATGCAGACGACCTTGTGATAATGACGCAGGGGACGGACGTGAGGAGGATGCAGGGGCTCCTGAACGGGGCATTGGCAAGATTCTCACAATGGTGCCTGGACAGCAAGTTGGCTGTCAATCCTAGCAAGGTGGAGATGGTAATCTTCACTAGGAAAAGGAAGATGGAGTGCAACCTCAACATTTCGATGGATGGGGTGCCTCTTTCTGCAAGCGGAAGTGTCAAGTACTTGGGCGTATGGTTGGACTCTAAGTTGACCTTCCAGGAACATATAAGATCAAGGACCAGGTCGGCCTTTGGAGCTCTGTGGGCGTGCCGGAGAGCGGTAGGGGGCACTTGGGGCCTGGGGCCGAAGATCATGCAGTGGATCTACGGTACCATGGTGGTGCCTATGCTCACGCATGGGGCAGTGGCATGGTGGCCGGGGACCAAAAGAGCGGGAGCAAGGCTAGTTCTTGACAGACTGCAGAGATTGGCTTGCCTCTGCATAACGGGCGCCATGAGAACGGCGCCCACGAGGGCCCTGGAGGCTCTGGTGGGGCTGCCCTCTCTGGCGGATCGGGTGCAGATGGAGGCGGCCAGGACAGCTGTGAGGCTGGCGAGCTGCGGGCTCTGGAGGGAGGGAACCCTCAATCGGGATCCGTACGACATTTTAGAGGGCTGTCGCGGGGATCGCGGGGTCATGGGCATGCCGAGTGACGTCATGATCCCCGAGATGACCTTCTTTGATAAATTGACCTTTCTCTTTCCATCAAGGGAAGATTGGAGAGAGGGCAGAGTCGGCTCCTGGGATGGACTTGTCTGGTACACGGACGGGTCCAGAATGGGAGATCTGGCCGGAGCTGGAGCGTACTGCGAGACAACGGGATCAAGCTTGTCGGTCCCTCTGGGCCAGTACTGCACTGTGTTTCAGGCGGAAATTTTCGCTTTATTGATGGCGGCCAGAGAGGTGCTTCGGCTCAACTACGGAAGCAGGAGAGTCTTCTTCTGCTCGGATAGTAGGGCTGCACTCATGGCGCTGAAGTCAGTGCGTACGCGCTCCTTGTTGATAAAGGAGTGCAAAGGGGTACTGAGGAGGGTGGCTGAGGAGAGAAAGGTCACGTTGGTCTGGGTTCCGGGTCACACCGGTGTCCGGGGCAATGAGGCAGCGGACGCCTTAGCCAGGGAGGGCTCCTCGCATAGGCATATAGGGCCAGAGCCCCGCTTGGGGATCGCCCCGTGTGTGAGGCGGGGAGCTCTCGAAGCCTGGGCGAGAGACCGGGCCGCGGGGGGCTGGAGAGTTGCTCCGGGAATGAGGCAGGCGAGGCTTATGATGGATGGGCCCGCACTTCCTCGGACCAGGGAGCTGCTTAGACTGACCAGGAGGGAGTGTAGAGCACTAACAGGGGCCTACACAGGACATTGCAGGCTTAGGAGGCATCTCTGCTTGCTAGGCATTGGAGACGACCCGGAGTGTAGGTGGTGCATGGAAGGGGAGGAGACCCCGTATCATCTGCTCACCGAGTGCCCTGCCTTGACATGGGCAAGATTGGGAGTCTTCGGAACGGCCCTGATCGATCCGGACTCAGTGCACGGTATTGGGCTAAAGGATTTGCTGACCTTCTACAGGAGGGGCGGCATTCTGGACGCCCTCTAGAGCGGCCTGGGGGCACAACGGGCCCATCTGGTGGCCTAAGTGCTTGGACGCCCGCGAGGGCGCCCCCCTTTAATACCAATACCAATACCAATACGGGTTAGATCGAAAATTGAATCGAGGCTTGCCCTGACCAAACAAATATCTGGAGGGATGTAAACACAACAAATAAAAAAATCGACAAGCTCTGCAAGAACAACCTGACACCTCTCTGGTATATTAATTCTGCTTAAGTCGATGATATTATATTTTATTTTGTTTTTCAAGAAAATTGCTATACCATCTGCACCATTAGGTTTATCAGCTCTTACAGAAGAGAACCCTGATATTTTAAAGTTGGTGTTGGGTTTGAGCAAGGTTTCATTGAGCAATAAGATCTGTAGCTTAAACTCCCTTATAACTCTAATGATAGCATCTTTATTTTTTTCAGCCCCGCAAATGTTCCAATGAATGATATTCATTATAGCTCAACTATAAAACGCTTGTGACTAAAACTTAAACTTAGTTTTGTTACGTAAAAACTACTGTTAGATTAAAACTAGTGATAAGATTACCTTTTCTTTTTCTAACCCCTGTAGGTCAACCGCTGCCATCGCAGCCGCCCCCCCTCCGTAGGTCAAATGAACCAAAATATTGTTTGATATTGTTGACACAATTTTCATCCATACCCTTTATTGACATAACGTCTTTTTTGAAAGCTTCAAACTTGTTGCATACTTCTTCCCAGCCATTTCCTACAGGAGTTACTTCCATTTCCGACTCTGATGTCGAGTTTTCACCTACTTGTATAGATGAGACTTTTCTTCTTGCACTTGAGGGTAACAAAGTTAGTTCATGGGCTACTTTATCATACCCTTTGATAAATTGGGTGTCAGGCCGTTTTCTTTTAAGTACTGATGTATATAAGGAACAGCTCTGAGGACTTGTTGGATGAGGAGTTTTATTCTGAGTTTTTTTATTTAAACTAGAAAAATCTTCTGGTTTTCGGGTAAAGCCTTGGTTTGTATTAATTAGCCGTGGATGCAGTTTAGCTGCTTCATAAAAAGAAAGGTTGTAGAAGCTCATGGTTTCGTTAATTTGTTTTTGCCGTTTGTATTCAGAACATCCCCAGTCAGTAGCAGTGTGGTGTCCCTTGCAATTTACGCAGCTTGGTTTTGGATTTGCTTCACAATTTGGAATTTTACACGTTTTAGTCAGATTGTTAAGATGATCTGCGGGGCATTTCATTTTTTTCATTGCTTGCCCTCTTTTTTCAGAAACAAACATAAGATGATCTTCTGTACAAAAACCGCAACGAGGCTTGCCTCTACAATTATTTTTGACATGTCCAAATCTGCAACAATTGACGCACATTATAAACTGGTTAACATATTTTTCCACTTCTCTTTCATTATTAAAAATATTTACAGTTTGGGGTAATGATTTGCCTTCAAATGTTACAATATAATCGTTTGTGGGGATGGTTTTCATTACTGTTTCGCCAGAAATAGCAAGTATTTTCTTCCTTCTTAAGACTTTTTTTACATTTAATATCTTAATCGACCTGGCCCGGGATCCTTCCCCTGTATAAGTTACCGCTTCTGAGTAAAAATCCTCTTCCGTAATTTGGTCCCCTACATCCTTGATTAGTCCTCTACAAGTGACAAGACGTTTTGGAATGTACCTATTATAGCCTCTAGCAGAACTGAAACTTTCATTTGACAAAAACTGATTAGCATACTCTGATGTTCTGAATTCAATTCCAATTTTATTAGCCCCTTTTCTATTGATTTTTGTTATACCTTGTACTCCAGCTCTGTACAAAATTTTTCCAACATTCATCGGGTGAATGTTTCCAACTTGAGAAGTTATTCCCTCCATTATGATAAGAAATGGTCCCTGGTCTGTAAGTTCATATTTATACTTTCAGTTAAGTATTCTCCTTATGTTGACTGAAATTCTTGCAATTTCGTTTAGGGCATCCTGATCTTCCACGAAGACAGATTTAAGCTTTTGTAACTCTGTCTCCAATAAATCTATTTCCTCCTTAGTGGGTACTAAGAAGCATTAATGCTGAGTGATAGCATGTGCTGTTTTCTTAGCTAAAGGCGAAAGCGTCAAGGCTGATGAATAACCACTGCTAGAGGAGGTAGAAGCTTGGGACAAGTTTAGTTGAGCTTGAAAGGAATCAAAATCATTTGCGAACACTATCGGATTATTAACTACGATACATCGTTTCTATCAGGGGGGTCTTTACCTCCCGAAGCACATGCCATGATATGAAAAGCGCTAAATTATTGCGAACTGCGACACCAAACCAAAGCAAATATTTACGGCTGACTAAATATAAAACTCACCCAGACCGAAAAATTCTGTTGAAGACTAGAATTACGTCAAAAAAATGAAAATTTTCTCGGACCGAGGTAAAATTGTGCCCACACTTCACCTGGTTGACCGAAAAAAAAATATATTTTAGGTTACTATCTAACAATTCTGCAAAATAATACACACTACTAATTTGCGTTTGGAGTTACCTAGGTAATGTTAAAATGAAAACTTATCTATGCAACTTAAGAGACTCAAACTCATAGCGACTAGTAATGTGACATGGCCTGTAAATTGAATCAAGAGATCGGAAAAAAAATTTAATGTGCTATAAGTCAGTGAACCAAAATCGTTGGATTTGGGATTCGAAACGCGTATCTTACCAAAGGACCAATTTTATCGGGTTTTCCATTAAATTTAGAATCTTGTACTTGCTTCCTCAAAATCAGAGTCTGTTGAAGTCTTTTATTTAATGCCGCCGCTTCTTCAAACTTCCATTTCAACACATTCTGCTGATTAGCATGCATTACCTTAATTTTTGTTATTTCAGTTTGCTTTTTCTGATCTTGTTGCTCTACACGTGTTAACTCTCTACAAAGATAAGATAAGATTAAAAATTCAAAAATTTTATGTAAATTTTAATATTAGTTTGATCACAAAATAATACATTAATTTGCTTTGAAAAGTGAAAATGGTTGCTAAATTTCAAAGATTTCCATGTTGCGTTGTCCAATATTGCATCTGTATGGAAGACCCTACCCATATTTTAATTTATTACAATTACAGATTCTATTTATATAAATAAGGATTTATGTAACAGAAAAAAGTTGAGGCATTTTATGTGGTTCCTTTTTTTTTTGTTAATTTTAATTAGTTCTTAAAATATTTTTTTAACAGATTTTGCCACCTTGTACTAGTTTCATGGCTCCCGTCTGTTTGTTACCAAAGATATGGCCAACCCGGTATGAAAATAAAAAATATTATATAGAAATTTTTTTGTAAGGATGTGTAACTGTGCGATGAGAATAACTTGGGTGAATATTATGGAGCTGCATCATAACTATTAATACCTAACAATATTAACAATTAATAACATGAATATAAATGATATTTTGAGTTTAAGGAAGCCTACATTATAGATCCGACGTAACAAAACGTTAAAACGTTGGCACTGAGATAAGTTGGTATAATCGTAACTACATATAATTTTTTTTAGTTTTCAAAATTCCTCCATATTAAAAAAGTTTGTAAACTTCTATAAACATACCTCATTTCGGTTTTACTCTTAACTCGTTCTAACTGCAGAAGACTTAGGCCTTGGTTTATCACTGGTTTGTTCTTAATTTTTCGCGCGCTGTCAGCATATCTCAAGGTCGAAAGAGTTTCTTCCAAATTATAGTCCGCAGGGCTAACACATGCAATCATCAGGAGCATACTATTACCCCCAAGAGAGTCTAAAATAGTCAGGTAAATTTTGATGCACAGAATTCATTCAAACCTACCTTTCAATAGCCGTGTTAAATTACTGTCTCTATATGGCACAAAACTTTGTTGAGATTTATTATTTCCTAGACAGTTGATAACATTTCCCAGCACAAAAAGTCCTTTGTTGATATTTACGCCCTCTTTAAATGTACTGCCAACTGCTCCAGTTTTCTTGGGTCGCTCGGATCCAGCTAGGTCAACTAGGTGCAATTTTGCGTTCTTATTTTGATTTCTACAACATATTTTCATTGAATTTTTAAAGGTACAGAAAATCATAAATGAGCAAAATGTTGTTGTTTTTGTCACATATGTGGTATACCCACTAAACAAATCTAAAAGGCTTTTGTTGAGGATCAAATTATCTTCTGCACATTTTTTTAATTTAAAATCGTTTTATTAACAGAATTTTATATTATTTTAAATCATAATTTAAAACAAAGCCTAATCAAATTGAACTGGTTAAAAATTACCTTTCAAATTTGTGCTGCATAGCAATGTTAATGGTGAATATAGCATGACTTCTGGAACTATGCAAGTTCATGCTCGTAGCAGCTGTTGCTCGTCCATTGGAACCCTTCGTCAGTATATCTAAAAGTTGAGTGGCAGATTCTACTATTGTCTCAGTTAATTTCGCTATAAGTATGTTCCCTGAAAATTTTCAACAAGAAATAAATCATGAAATTCTACTGTTTCAAATTTCTACCTTTGACGTCTTCGCGAATTTCTAATCTACATTGGTCTCGAGGCTTATCAGATAACAGATCGAAAATTCTTTCGTTGTAAAGCTCAATAAACGACACACTAACAGTAAAATCTATGGACAAATTATGCTTGATATAATCAAATATATGTTTCACAGCCCTAGGTATAACCCCCGCATGATCCTCTCCTTGGTAGGCAGTTCCCATAGAATGAGTTTTTCCAGATCCATTTTGACCATATGCAAGAATGGTAACATTAAATCCTGCGATAAAAAAAGATTTTATATTATATATATATATATATATATATATATATATATATATATATATATATATATATATATATATATATATATATATATATATATATATATATATATATATATATATATATATATATATATATAGGCAGTGTTAGTCTTACAACTCATTTTAACAATTTTTTCCTATCTTGTCAAATTAAGGGGATTATTCAACATATTTTTCAACCGTAGCATAGAAATAGTACCAGAGACGACAAACGTGACGCAGGATGCTTATATTTTCCACTAGAGTTACATTAGATTTTGTCCATAATAATCACCAATAATCAATAATTTATTTTATTTAATTTATTTGTGGGGCAAAATTAAAGATATCGTCTATGCCACACAGGAATGGCATTCAAGGAATTTGGATGGCTGAAGTAGAGACTGCTGCTCTTTCAATGTAGCTTTGCATTGAGAATGATGGCCGCCGGTTTGAAAATTTGGGACGCCATTAATGATTTTGTTATATGTGTAGTTGGGTTTTGTTTAGTGTTAACATTTGATTTAGTGTTAAGTTTTCTTTATTGTTAGATTTTTAGTGTTAGGTTTTGCTAACCCACCCCAAACATCAATTTATTGAGGTATTTCTGAATAATTCTTTCTGACCTAATTTCCTCTCAATTATGTTATATGTCTAAAATAAAATATCATTTTTTTAAAGCGTGACAACTTTAGGTTTCTCTGTAATAATTACACACGAAACAATATATTACTATATAAAAAAAAAATCAGTTATACTAAAAAGTAATATTCTATAAGCATATGGTTCTGCAAATGTTAAAATATTTCACTTACTATATAACCAAAACTACATAAACTAAAACTAACCAAAAACAAGCGCCGCTTTTGTGTCTATTTATCATTTTTTGATACAGTCATGCAATTTTAAATTTTAAAATTCTCTCCAATATTCTTAATTATCGTTTTGGATATGCCAATGGCATATCCTACAGAAATATTTTTTAAAATGTAGAATATAACAATATAAACGAATCACTACAAAAATACCAAAATATTTGTGGTAAATATAACTATTTTTGCACTATTTCCACACCCATTATACTAAAATTATCAAGTCTTTTAAGTAATGCCCATTTTAAAACCAATATGACAAAATTGGTTTTTGCGCCATGAAAAAAATACTAGATTTTTTTAGAACAGTTGCAGAAAAAGTGTGCCCGCTTTCTTCTTATTTATGCATAAAATCATTTTTTATAAGAGCAATTAGAATATCCTGGAAAAAAATTAAGTCGTCAAAAAACTTAAAAATTGTACAAACATTAAAAATTAATGTTTTATATTAACCTTCAAATAAGTTTTGTAAAAGCGGCTCCACGCATCTCTCGTACAAATCAACTTGGGTGGAATCAACGCCCAAGACATAATTAAACGTAAAAGGCTTGTGGATTGGACGTACTAAAATTTGTTCATTTTCCGGAACTATTTCCAGGACTTCTTTACACCCCCTGGATATCTCGAACGGAACTAATGGCCGTACACGCACAGCAACTTTCACGGAACACGTGTCATTACCGTTCATAGTGCCACAGCGTTTCTATCTTGTTATAATGGAAATAAAAAAATATTTAACACGGGTATATTGTTCCTATTAACCAATTAAAATTACTTTTAAATCTTACTTCTGCAGCCTCAATCACAAATGATAATCACCACCGTTAAATACACGTTAAAAAAGAATCGTTTTTCTCTGTTCAAAGCAATATCAGGATTTCTTCTTCTTTTCTGGCCAGTAAATATGTAACAATTCAATTAACCAAGATCATTCGCCCATCGCCGAACGTGTCAATTTCGATCAAAAAAGAGTTAATCAGGGGTCTGTTATATTCTATCAATTAATTCCTTGGGAATCAACTATAAATGCATTGACGTTTCTGATTTTAAATTTAGCAAGATTTGGCAGTCAAAATGCAAATTAAAACCTGGTAGACACGATCGAATTTTCACATGTATTTATGCATGTATTTTTTGCTATTAAAAGTGTATGTATTTATAACTGGTGAGTTTTTGACAGTAGGCACAATTCCATTTTTTTTCGAACAAAATGGACTTTGTTTATTTTGGTGGAATTTTGTTTTTATGGTAGTGGAACCTTTGCTGGTCGTTTACAAATAACATCGACGGAAATCACAATTTAAGCAATATCTGGTGTCCCTGAAACCAACACGCCTACACTGCTTAATTACAATAATGCTACCAATTGTCGTGGTTGGGCGAATCACCTACGGCAGAGTGGCCTGACTTTACTAAAATATATATATGGTATGGATATAAATAGACGTAAAAAGTAAGCCAACTGTATTAGTGAAACGCATTATTGAATTGAAGTAAAAAGGTCAATAAAAAATAAAACACTTTAATTATACAACGCATTAAAGAAAAGAATAAGACTAATTATTCAACCAGTATTAAAAATACTTTTAATTTTGTGATCATAGACTAGTTTTACGATTTTTTACCTTAATAAATAGTTAAGTAGTTCAATATGTGCGACGATAAAGTTTTTGCGTCCTTTACATGTCAACGATGTTCCCAGCCGTTGAAGCTCGAGGACTCTCTAAATTCATTCAGTGAACATATTTCGGCAGAGCTTAACCGTAAGCTTTATTGAGCTTTTATTGTTCAGAATTTATTCTTATGATTTTATAGTACCTATACATTCTCAACCAGACGTAGAATTGGAGTCTCAAGCAACAAGTTTTGATCACTATGTACCACCTTGCACGCTATCAGATTCTGGAAATGGAGCTAATGGTTTTATGTTTATCTCGGATGAAAATGAGGTGGATTTACTAAGTCATCAATTTAAGGTATGCAAACTAGTGTTTGTTTACTACAGTTTTGCTGGGTACAAGAATTTTTGGTGTCAATGCAGAAAGTTAAGTATTTTAAACTTGCACTTATTTACAAACATGGATATAATGCATTTAATGCAGTAATTTGAATGTCTCCCTAATTTGCTCATATGTTTTAGATGTAATTTTCCGGATTGTCAAGATTGTACTCTCTCAAATTCTTTTTTTCTTCTACTTAAATTTGGATTTTAACTAATATTCAATATATATTATAATATAATAATAACCGGTCAATATAAAGGAAGCTTTTTATGAAGAATGGTGTCTTGAATAAGTTAACTGTGAAAATGTGAAAAGTGATATTTAATATCCTATATGTAGTTCATGTAATGTTTTTCTGATGATCCCATATTTGTGATCAAGCCGAGATAATAACTGTTTAGTTTTCATTTTATTATTTTTTCTGGTTATTATGAATTTATATATAATTTATATAATTTATATATATATATATATATATATATATATATATATATATATATATATATATATATATATATATATATATATATATATATATATATATATATATATATATATATATATATACTAATTTTTTCCACAGTTTTTTTGACGTGATATCTTTGTCTTTCTGAGTGCGCCATAATGTTAATAATTCTATATGGTCCCACAGCAACTGATGGATCTCGTTGCTTAGTTTCAGGTGAAGTCTGAAAAGTTGTAGCTCAGTCTCAATAATTTCGTACCGGGTCCGCCTGATCTGGTCTTGGAGTAGGGCCTTGCTAGCTTTGTCCAGGATAGCTTGTGTCTTTCTGGTGCGTGTGTGATAAGACAACCTTGTAAATGTTGGCAGCAAGTTCTGGTTGCGGCAGAATATATATATATATATATATATATATATATATATATATATATATATATATATATATATATATATATATATATATATATATATATATATATATATATATATATATATATATATATATATATATATATATATATATATATATATATATATATATATATATATATATATATATATATATATATATATGATGACACTATATTCCGGGATATCATCCGTTCGCTCGTTGAACTCCGACTGGAATCCTGATATATATATATATATATATATATATATATATATATATATATATATATATATATATATATATATATATTGTTGTAACTTGTTTCTGATAATTAGGTTGGGCGCTTCTATTTTTGAGTTTTCGAATTATTTCCGTAATCTGTATAATTTCAGGAACCCTACGCCCGATCCCACAGACCCACTACTCAACGTGACATGGACTCAAGTTTCGCCGTCAAATATTCAATATTTAGACTTGGATAATGAGCTCGCAATGAAACCAAACAGAAAAGAAAAGGAAATGACCATGTGGAATAACGTTTATTATGCTTAGGGCCAGCAGCCCTTTATGGGTTTTTGAAAAAGTTTATCTCTTGGTCTATTCATTGATTTATTTTTTAAAAGCACAAATAAAATTTTATTAATTTGAAAACTTGATTTTCCTTTAACCTTGCTTCCTAAACCTGAGCGCAGCCGAAAACAATAGGAAATCGATGTAAAGAACTAGTAATTTACTCAGATCTTCAAGTTTTTCGAGTACTTAATTCTTCTCACCGCCCCCATCTACACAATACGATCTCTGCTGTTTCATCATCTATCGATTGTACGCATATATAGTATTTGAGGCTCCAGTGTCTAAGAGAATTTTCAGATTCAAGAGGGTGTCGGTTAGGCGTTCTATCACTGTCTTCGAATGGGCTAACCCAGGTAATTGCAACCAGAATGCGCGAGTTTGTTACTCTAGGATTTGCTGTTCCTTTTCTCAATTGAATATTGGATTTTTGTTACCTTGCAACGTCTACTATGCCGTAGTATTTAACGAATCATTGAGGAAAATTGAGGAAGTGCACCGATAAAAGTTGAATGAAAAAACAGGTTATAAAAGTGGCGCCAAGATTGAAGGAAGCAAACATTTTTATATCCCAAGATTTATGTATATCGGACAGACTCGATAAGAAAATACTCGAGGAAGACCTTGAACTAGCAGGATCTAAGAAGCTGTCTGCTGAAATACTATACGGAAATAGACTATTAATAAATGATGATATTTACACTGTGCGATAGTTGAGACATCAGGTAGGTGACTCTGATTGCAAAAACACAGATCAGAAAAATTACCAAGAATCTTCTCTTACCTCAAACAGTGCTCCGCCCACGCCCAAGCTAAAGATAAGTCGTAGAAATCTTTTTCCGCACAATCAGAATTAGATAGCGCAGAAAATGTCTTTATTTTGTTCCATAAAGCAACGAACTTATAGGGTAGGGAACTCAAATCGAAAAAACTATAAAATACGACTCTAAAAAAAGGGAATGGGACGACGAACAAGAAAAATTGATGCTCGTCACATGTTTGTCTCCAGAAAATAAAACAAACAACCCCTTGGTATACCAACTTTAACACTTCAACAGAAACCCTGTGTCTTGTATTATGTTACAATGCCATTGGCAATGGAACTGTAATTGTTTTGTTTGTTCTGTTTTAAGATACTCTGATAATACTAGATAGATATATCTTTCCTGAATTGCTTTATCCACGTTTCCGTCTTCTGCTACTTTTAAGCCCAAATACGTATATTCTTTTGTCTGTGTCCTATTCCAAGAATTAAGTCTTCTTGTGCGCCTCATATACACATGTATTCTCTTTAATTGATGTTCACTTCCAGGCCGCATTCATCATATTCTTTAATTACCTTTTGTGTCATGTACTCTATGTCATCATAGCCTTGGGCCAAGATTACTTGATTTTTCGCTTAAGGTCTATAAATACCAGATATAGTTCTCGATTAAAAGCTATTTTTTTGTGCATTATTTGTGTGAGGGCCTGTTCTTCCATTTCCATGTCTCTGTACTCTCCCTCTTTATCTTTATCTTTATCTTTATCTTTCTATGCACTCTATCGATCGTACTCGTACTGTTATCTTTTGTGTGTATGGTTAAAATTCTTTAGATATTTCCTCGCCATTAATACAACTTTTGAAAAGTTGGGTTAATAAAGCATACAACTTGTCTGTACCATATTTCAATAGTTCCGATGCAATATTTCCTGGTCCCGATGCCTTCTTATTTTTCTAGTCCTAACGGGGAACCTATTGTAGTGATGTTTTGTGTACGGTTCTCATTATTCGGAGTCTTTTCTATTTTCCGTTAATACCTCCCAAAAGTATTTTTCCCAGTGATCCATTTTTATGGGTGTTATAATATCCTTTGTTGTATCTTGTCTCAATGCTTTAAGAAGTTTCCAACTCTCCGAATTTCCTGAGCCTCCAATGTAAGTATTTAGACATTACATTTTTTCTCCCAATGTTTTGTTCTTCCTTTTAATAACGTATTTCCGAACTTTTGCCTGCACTTCTTTGTAAACCATTTTGTCTGTGTCTGCTTTGGTCGTAAGATATTTTTGAATTGTTTTCCTATATTACCAACTTGATCTCCGTCTCCCACCAATAGAGTTTTTACCGCTTTGTTCCTCCACAGAGTCCCAATGCTTCTGAAGCTGCGTCATGTACGCATACTTGTTATATACGTGTGGAGCTCTTCTGTGTTTGCAAATGTCGACTGCATTTTGAGTTTGTCGTCTAATCCTCTTTGATACAGTAGTCTAATACTTGCATGTCCCAGGCTATCGAGGTTATATCTACGTCGATCTATGATTGTTGTTTCACTTTCAAGTCTGCTCTGCCTGTTGCTTCCTGGAAGCCTTATTTCTGATCTATCAGACAATGATCACTTCCAAATATGGCTCCTCTACAAACTTTAACATCTTGGATTTTCATATGTGTCTTTTGTCTTATAATGACGTAATCTGTTACCGATTTAAGATTTCTATTGTGCTGTGTCCATATGTATTTGTGAATCCAGCGATCCGGAAAAAATCCTTTTATTATCTATAATCTATTGCCATTTTCGTTTCTCACCTCTTCACCATATTTTCCTATCGCGTTGTCGTTGTCTTGCTTCCCTCTTCTACTATTCATGTCCCCCAGTTTTATAAGTTAGTTCTTCTTTCTCGCTCACCAGAGCGTCTTAGTTTACGCCGTATGCTCAAAAATTTGTGGTTCTGTGTCCCCGCATGAGCATATTTACACCTTCGTGTCATAATAGATACTCCCTGTTTACCGCTCTGGTCTTTAGGTACGCCACTAAAGAAATGATCGAAGTATCTGAGATTTTCTAACCCCTGTCCTTTTCTCATAGTCTCCTTAATTAATACAATGTCTATCTCGATCTTCTTGAGTTATCATGTAATTTCATTTATTATCCGAGATAGGATGCTTTTCCGAAGCTTAAGTCGTTTCCGAAGTTCCGATCCATTTCGAAGCAAAGTTTGGGCCTTTCAACATTTTAGTTCTATTCCGAATATCGGGGATTGCTTTCTCTACAGGTCAGGACTACTATCTACCACCTGTTGGTCCGCGGATGGTATTTCCTTCCCCACCTATCCGCCGGTGTGATTAAATTCATGAGAGCCTTCCTCTAACCACCACCCGAGGACGCGCCCTCTAAGGGTTACAGGCTCCCCTATACAAATTGTTAAAGAAATGTCTGTATTATTATTATTATGATTATTATTATTTGTTTTGCTCATTCAGAAACGTTGGAAATCGAAAACTGATGATCGGCCAAAGCAGAGTCTGACCCAGTTCTAAATCAAGGTGGATACAATCGCGTTCGCAAATCTTGAAAGATAAAAATAAAATTTGGGTTAATTCGGAAAGGAGATTTACTGGTAAACGAGCCGAAACACCTGGCTAATCTGTAAACGATCATCGTCGGATGAAATTTATACGCCATAAGTTTACAGTACGACAAAGGCTGAGGAGGATGTTGGAAGTTTGCCATTATTTTGAGTTTTTTTAGTTTTACAATTAGAAAGAAACCGCCCGTTCATTCTTTCAGTTTCGCGCTTAGTTTTCGGCTTCGTTGGTCATCAAGTCTCCGTTGTCAGATACGCCATGTTACACAGTTACTTAAACACCAGACTAGGATTCATTCAAACAAGATAAATGGTCTGGGCACGATAAATTTCCCTCAATCTATTTTAAATCTTGTAGGGAATCTCTGCTGCTGAGGCTAGTTTAAATTTTTAATAAAAATTTATTAAAAGGGCACTCCCCAACTATTTGTTTTGGTTAATTGTCAAACTGCAAATTCCGTGGGTACACACATTAAGATTTTGCTAAAATTAGTTCAGTCCAAAAGTTGCCAATGTTAAATTTCAAATTATTCACGGAAATTATTACCTTACGCTGGATGAGCCAATCAAAGTTTCATCGATCCATGTCACTTCTAATCCGGGAAAAATTCTGGAGGCAATTATAACTTAATAATTTATACTTAGGTACGTTCTTGGTGAAACGCAACATAGTTTTTTTAGAGGTAGATGCGTCTGCTAATCTCTGACTGTATATTCGAGATGTATCTGAGGCGTGAGATGATAGAAAGCAAAATCGATGCCGTGTGCACTGATTTTTCCAAGGCATTCGATAAAGTATATCATCCGATAATATTAGCGAAACTTAAAACTTTCGGTGTGCACTGCTTTTCTTACCAAATCCGGGACTCGGTATGTTAGTTAAATGTCATGTCTGGGATACTTGGGACCTCTGTTGCAAGTTTCAGGAGAATCTTGATAGTTTTTTTGGCTTCTGCGTAAAAAATCGACTGTTTTTAGTTGTTGAGAAATGTTACAATATTTACTTTAGTAAACTAAAAACTTCAGAAATTTTGTTACTTCATCTTTTAGAATAAGATAAAAGTGGACATTTTTGGTGCGAATTTGTGAATTGTAACGTTAATTCCCCATGTGAGAGTGATTTTTTATAAAACGAATTTTTTTAAAAAATCTTGTAGATTCTTTGCCTGAACAATGATAATAATATTATGACAATTGCTCAGTTTTGGTTAGTTTTGGTTAAATTTCAAACTACATATTCCTTGGGTAAACACCATTTTTCCAAAATTAGTTTAGTTTAAAAGTTAAATTTTTAATTATACTCCTTGATTTCTCTGCCTGAAAAAGGAACCCATAGAATGTAAAATTTCAATAAAGTTATGGCTTATTGTTTTATTTAAATTAGGATTTCTCAGTGGCCATTTTTTACAAAATTTCCCACAATTGCCCTTCGAATTTTTTTACTTTTGGACATCTACATGGCGAAAAAGAAGAATATTTTTAAAATAAAACGTAGTTACTTAAGTTACTTTCTTACTTTCTTCCAAATACATTCTCCAAAATGGAGATTCTTCTACTCCATCATTGGAAGGCTGCCCGACTGCATAACATAATGCCATAAATCTTATGCGGCATCTCTGCTGCTGCGGCTATTTTTAATCTTTAATAAAAGTTTATCAGATGGGCACTATGTACTATGGAAATGTGCCAATTTTTTGCAAAATCAACTTGCATTTAATTATTTTTTTCAATTTTTTTACATTATCTCATAAAACGCCATCTAGTGGCAGGGTACTCAATCATTTGATAACCTAGGAAAGGCTCCTACTCAATCTCTATTAAAATTCCGACATTTCCAATTCACCTAATTCTTTTTTAATTCTTTGGAATGTCCGTCTCCCCAATACCGTATCTGGTTATCCTTACTGGGACACTCGTTATAAAGTGTACACCCGTATATTAAGAGGCAGGTTGGAAAATAAACTGGAATTCATTGATAAATTAAATTATTTCAAAAGACTATAGAATACAATAGACCGCTGGTTCTTGCCTTTGTGGATTTCCATGAAGCTTTCGGCACTGTTAAATCATCTGATATCCTCAAAGAAATAAAAGAAAATAGAATAGACCATAGATATGAAGATACCAAGTAATTTCCAATTATGAGAGGTAAAAATCTGTTCATAGATATAAGAAAGTGACTAACTGATACGAATTAAGGAAAGACCCGGCAAGCTGTAAGAATGAAATATGGCCGAACAGGTCCGTACTTTGCTTCGAATTTAATTGTTCGGGGTTTTGTTAGGAAATATTTATTTTTTTATGTATGTATGTATGTATGCTTAAATCTAATATAAAATTACAAATTATTTTTATTACCTACTTAAATTATTTAAAATTATTCACATAATATATCAGTATCACTATCGCTATCACCTGTTCTAATTATTATTTGTTCTATATCATTTGCAATATGGATATACGATTGTTCTGCTTTTTCTATATGTTTAACAGAATTTGCCCAACTTTGTGGAGGGATGTTAAAAACTTCGGTTTCTATAAGTTTGAGGACATTGGAGTTAATACGGGGAAAAACATCGTTACGTTGAATGACAGATTTCAGTTTGTGCCAAACATGTTAAATGGGATTAAATATACAGTGAAGCCTTAAAACTGTATGCCTCAGATTTTTTTGCATAATTATCACAGACGTATTACTTTTGTAGGTCAAATCAAATAAAAATTGTTTATAACTTCCTTAGTCTCAATAGTGTTTTCTACATTACTAATAAACTTAAACTAAGTAGTATACCAAACCAAATAATATTAAACACAGGTAGGTATAAAATTATTTTCTATTACGGACCACAATTTTACCTGAATTTAAATTCCGAAACATTAGGTAATAATCTTGTTGCATTGTATGTTAATGACTACCCTTGGATAATTCCATTCAAAAGCAATTGGTCACGTTCTTATATCTATGAACAGACCATACAAGCGAAGGAGACACTCTGTCACTGAAATTATTTACTACAGTCTTGGAACAGACTTTTAAAATAATAAACTTGCACGGAAAAGTGAGCGTTTGAGGCGTCTATGCTTTGCAGTTGATGTAGTCCTCATAGTGAACAATTTCGCAGACATAAGGGACGTGGTTTGGGAACTACAACAAGTCACATCACAAATCGACAATTGGTATGAGCGGCATATCAAAAGCTGCAAGGCCACTATTGCCCTTAAAGAGAAAGCTTTAAACAAATGCGTCTCGCTCGAACCGGAAATGCTGACACACACAAAAACCTCAAGAGTGGAACTGCGGAGAAAGACTAAAGGAGGCATACGTTCAACAACGGACATGAGATGGAGGCTGACAAATGGCATTTTTCTTTAATAATAAATGAATTATATAAATATGCAACTTAATTGCAATAAAATAATTCTTGTATCCATTTTTTTTCTCCAGATCCTGACAAGATCCTCAAGTTCTCTAACAGGTGCCATAGATAATTTATTGATCACCTTCTGGTTAAAAAAATTATTGTCGCAAGTCATGTTGTACAACTAAAAATATAATATATAATATATATAAAGATAAAATATAAAAATATAATATAAAATGGCGTGACATACAAAACAGTAAAATATGAACAACACGAAACAAGAGTATTACACATTAAAGAAGAATTACATACAAAATAGCCAAGATTAAATTAAAAGATCCTTGATAGCATCTTCTATCATGATGGTGAAGTGCGGAATAGCAACAGTGCTTTTAAAGGAAGTTAGTTGCATAACTGTTAAATGTTTTATAACTCATTGCCTTAACATTTGATGATACTTAAATACTTAAATTTCGTATTGTAATATGCGTACTAATATGTGTTGCATACTTTTTAGAGAATGAGCAGGTGTGTGCCTCCGTGTACTTCCAGCAGTTGATAATAGATGTACAGACATGGAAAGGTTATTATTCTTGCCACCTTGTTTTTAAGTATAAACTCCCGATCAGCTGAAACCACATATTGCTGAGTTGAATCTGGATTCCATCTAAGAGATAACATAACTCAGCCCTATCTTCTGCAGGTTTTGTTCTCTCTATTAAATCTTTTATTTTCATAGAAATTATAAAGGATACCATTGACATCTGGAAAACCATTCGAGGAATTCAAGATTATCCTCAAAAATTTCAACTCCGTATTCATTCTACGGAACTAGCGAGCAAAAATCTGTTTTATTAGATATGTTTAGCAAAATTTTGTGGTTGTATTTAAAATTGAGCACCTAAATGTAGGTACCACCTAAAGTGACTTGCAAAAGACTTAAGTAGTCTAGAAAACAAAAGTTCACCTAGCAATATACTAACTGTTGGTGGGAACGGTAATAAATAACACATTAATTATCACCACCTTAATTAAAAATATGCCGGATCTTAAATTTTATTTATTTGCTGGAATTGCTGGAACACTTTAGGATTGCGGAAAACTCTTTTAAATCCGTCCGCCTCTCGTGCCGCTCTAGTTCGAGTTTAGTCGTGAGAGCTTTAATATTTTCCTCAGCCAGCTCTAGCTTATCGCTCAATGACTCATCCGGGACACGCACAGATGCCAAGAATGTGGTAGAACGGTATCTGTTAGACGATATAGATTCAGCCTCAGTTCTAGCCAGCGCCGATTCTAATTTCGCAGATTTCTGCTTTTCCTTTCGCAGCGCCAATTGACATTTGGAAAGTTCGCTTCGCGCATCCTCTAGTCGTTTATTTTGAGTCTCGAATAGGTCTAAAATCTTAATTCGTTCGGCATCGTAGCACTCCGCTACGACCATTTCTTCCTCGTCCTCCTTGACGCCTTTGACTTTTCTCAGTTCAGTAATTTGCTCATTTTTCGATTCGAGCTGTTGGCGTAGCTCGTTTATTATAGTCTTGCATGTTTGCACCTCTAGAAACAGTTGCTCTTTCTCATTACGGACCTTGCCCAGTAAACATTCCTTTTCCCTTGTTACGTCCCTTCTGAGCTCCTCGAAAGAAACTACCTGAGCCGACAAGGTAGCGATGAAGCACTGATCTTTTTCGTAGTGTTCGTTCAACGTAGAATACTTTAACTGTAAATACTTTACTTGTTATCTGCCTCCAAAGCTTTGTTTCGAGCCTTGATAGCTTCGATTTTTCTCCTCAGTTCTTCGTTGATCGCCTTTACGTCTCTGCTTTCCTGTTCCAGGCTCGTCAATTTCTGGTATGTCTTTGCGTAACTCTGCTGGGTATCCTGCATCATCTTAGTTTTGTCCTTCAGCTCCCTGTTTTTGCTCTGCAATTCGTTAATCAGCTCAGATTTACCTTTCCACTTGCTATTGCCGAGCAACGAAGTCAGTTCTTCCCCCGTCTCTCGTTTCAGGTACTCGTTGGCAGTTTTCAGGTCGTTTTTAAGCTGCGCATTGGCGTCCCTCGCCTCCACCAACTTGTTGGAAGTAGCACGGAGCTTTTCTTCCAGCCGCTTCGTCTCGACGTCTTCGCATCTGAATTCTGCAATTGGTTCGCAACGAGTCGATCGATTTTCCAATTCGAGGACGTAGTTTTCAAGTTTCGCATACTTGGACTTGCATGATTCAAGTTCTGCGCACTTTTCGCGCAGCTTCTTGCTGATCTCGACGATCTTGGCGCTGACCAAGTGATTGGGAGTAGCGGCGACCATGTCGGACGAGTCCTGGTACTCCTTGAGTTTCGTTTCTAGTTTTAGCAACTTGCGTTGGGTGTCTTCGTTTTGTTTCTCTTTTTCTGCAATGTCCTTCCTCAAGAAGCAGTTTTCGCGGGTACAGGTTTTCAGTTCTTCCCGAAGGTAGCGGCATAACTCGTCCGGGAATAAAATATCTTCCGGGACGCGCGAATCAGTTACGTCACCGACGTCCAGTGACATGTCAACGTCATATAGATCCTCATTGAAATTGGGCACTAACCTGTGGCAACATGTCAACATCATATAGACCCTATGGAAGTAGAACTAACCAAAGAAGTGGACGTAGTTCCCTCGACAACAGGCTCCATTGTTTCTATTGAAAACTGAGAGACGGGAACGCTACTCAAGAGAATTTGCGTTCATTGCTTCGTTCCGCTGACTTCATAATTCTTTGAAGAAATGAAGATTTTAACGAGGACCTGGTGCAAGCTGGAGAAGATGTGGCAATTAGAAGAGATGTTTTACCACAAACAGACCCTTTCCAATTTCAAGTTTATGCAGTTGCAATGTCTTTGTGAAAATAGTTTAGCCAATATATGTGGTTTATATCATTAGGAAGGTAAACATTTACAACGGACATGTAGCTATTTGCAATATACTAGGTTATCGTGGCTTTATGCTAGAAGCAGCCATCAAGAGATTACTCGTTGGTACTTTGTGGCAGTGACAGTAACAAGTAGAGGAAGCAACCGGTATATTAGTTAATGATAATTAATGATACTTTTAAAGCTGAAGCAAATTCAAAAGTTTTTCTTAGATGCTTAAAGGAGATGGATAAATAATCCTGTAAAAACTCAACAAACAACACATTGAAAATCGAATCTCAATATCAAACACGATTGCATTTTTCAAAATATTTCTGTTTTTTTTAGTATTGTTATATTGTTCAATTTTTATGGAACAAATTATCATAATATTACATAGACATAGACTATACATGAATCCATCTCTAAGTATGTGCGTACAATAACAACATTTGTTATAAGTATTTTATTCTGTCTAGCACTTTATTGCCGCCTATGCCATCACAAATCGTACCGACTATACATTGTGATGCCTATCATGTTGTTAATTGATGTCTTATTCGTCTGCCGAAGTAGATGACATGTTGATTTTGTTTTCTCAGTGTCATTATTATATGTTATTATAGTAGAATGGTATTTAGTCGATTAAGTAAATGTTTGCGCGAGTTCATCCTAATCCAGTGCATAGAAGAAACCGACCGAAGTTAGGGACGAGGAAAACGTCATTAAGGCTCTTCCCTAAGTCCACATTCATCCAAACTGACGCATAAAAAGAGTAAGTTTGGACTTGAACGTTAGTAAAACATTGATACACCGAATTCTAATTCCTTAGACCAAAGGTATCCAAACTGTTGGATAGGAAGGGAAAATTTGTATAAAAATTTAAGATGGTAATTACGCCCTCTGGTGGCTATTTCAGAAACTCAAAAGCATTTTCTCTTGGCTCATTTACCAATTGTTTTTTTATTTTTAGAAACATCCGTTTCCCTAATACACGTTGTATAGAAAAGTTCCCCAATGTGCCATTTCTGAAAAACAAATCTTGAAATATACGACGCACGCTATTTAGAGAGGGATTTTGATATGTCTTAAACAAGTCTATCACAAGTCTATGATATCTTCAAAAAGTGATATTGCTAAGCTGTTCACATCTTACTTCAATTTCCTCATTCCTTAAATAGAAAACACGACTTTCCTATGTCGCTGCATAATAATTTTAAATGCTTGGACTTGGAATGTGTTAAATTATTAACATGTGTATTCTTCGTTTTGGAAAGTCAGCTAATAAAAAGTATCCTCCTTGATTTAATTGAAATATTATATACAATATGAAAAAAAACCGGATGTCACAAAGGCTTCAGAAGTAGGAGTAGTAGCTCAGAAAACGTTCAAATGTCGAAGATAAAATCTAAAATATGTACTTTTATAATTAAAATTAAATATGACATTAAAAAAGATCCTAAGAAGTTTTGGTAGTTCGTTAAAAACAGAAGCGAAATCTCAGGGGTACATTCGCGGCGGTGGTTTTTTCAAGAAGTTTAATGTTTTTCGTAATTCATACCATTCTGAAAATGGAAGCAAAGAATTTCTCCGAATCTGAAAAAAAAAATCTTTATTTTCAATGAGTCCAGTTTTAATCCCTGCATCTCTGTCCCATTGTTTTGACTAAACCGTTTGTAATACTTTTTAATCCATGTCTAACAAAGTAAGAACTTTCTCGTATACGAAAAATGTCTAAATTTTTCCCGTACACAAAAAAGACTGTAACTAGCAAATCCCAAACTATAGGGCTATTTTCACTATCTGTAATTTCTGTTAAGATTTACAAGCCCTCCTACATGACAAGATATTTCATGTTGTTGGGACCCAAGTAGTCCCCCAACAACATGGATACCTTAAAGGGAGATCCACCATTACGAATTTAACTAATCAAAATATTTCTGAAGATATCGATGAAGTTTCTCAAGTAGACGTCATATATCTTGATTTTTCAAAAGCGGTTGATCGGCTAGATTGCTAAATTCTGATCCACTGAATTTTCTGAATCGCTTGCTAATTTGTTTTCTTCATACGTTGCTTTCTCAGGCGTTCCTCAAGGCTCAATATTGGGGCCATTATTATTCTCATAATGTCATTGCTAACGATCTTGAGTGTTTAGAAGATTGTCTTACGCTCCAGCGTAGTTCGAAGCAAATGAACAATATGTCTATAATAACTTGCCGCTTAGTACAGCCAAGTGCAATGCAGTAGTGTCTTTCACCACCATGGGTGTAACTGGGAAAAATGATTATCATATTTTTATAAAACTCTCTTCCGTTCAAAAACTTTTTAGCATAAACTTTTGAAATATGTATGATACAATATTATTAAATAGGTTTGGACATGATTACCATTATTTAATAACTGTATTGAAAATTTTAAATTGCGCTGGCATGTTATATAGACTAATTTTGTTTGTTCCCGAAATAAATTCTAGACATGGTAACAAAACATTCTATCTGTCCACGCCAAAAACAAATATATAATAAATTTCTCAATGTTATTGCCCCATTATAATTATAAACTATAAATTAAATTATAATTTTCAGTATTTTTCTCTTCTCTTGTTCTTTTTTATTACTATTATCTAACGTTAGGTTAGATTTTAGGTTAAATTTCATGATCTTAATATTCCATTTTACTGCAACCTATCTATTAGTTTTGCTTCATGCCTATTAAATAGACTTTTTTTGTAAATAAATAAACAAATCAGCTATTTTTAGAAGTTTTAGATGTGTTATACTTGTCCGGTGACCTCAGAATATTGCAAGGAAATTGTTTTATTATCGAAGAGTTAATGTGTTCGTTGTGCCTTTTTTTATAAAATTATAAATGTTTATTTTTCCGTGTCGAATTAATTTTTAACTAATACGCTACACATGTTATCTGAGAATAAATAGTGCTCATAACGAGTCAGGCGATGAATAAATCATTTTTCTTTATTTTTTAAATAATTTTCATATTGTAATTAAAATTTACTCTTTCAACTCTTTTTTGTTCATTTGTATATTTGTTTTTTTTAAGCTATACGTTAAGCCATCGCCATTGACTCTATTATTAATCGAAAAGTGATTATGTTCCACGCATACTTTAAAATATATAAAAATGCATTCAAAAATATCCGCAGGCGCTTTTTCGAAGTGTAAAAATAAAATTTTCACGGCGCGTAAAACATCTGCAAATCCTCGCCTAGCTTCGTTTATTTGATCGCGTCTGTTTGAAAATAAATCTGGGCGTGAACTTTGAAAACGCATCTTTCAAACGTGCCTGCATGTATCGAATAACGGCATTATTTTATCTCTTTAATATCGGATCGGTCGTCGCAGTTGCTCACAAAAGGATAGCCACGGAAAGTCTTTTTTTAAATTTTTATCAAGCATTTTTGAAAAACCTTCTGCCGTGTTGAAAAACTGATTTGATTTGCTTTGGTGGCTTCAATATAAATATGCTTAATTTAAATACTGATCTTGGAACTAGATTAACTTCTTTGTTTTCTACTTTCAATATGGACCAATATATACAAGAACCTACCCGCATTGCATTACATTCTATGTCGCTCTTAGATTTAATATTTACCAACGTAAAAAACGTGTCTGATGTAGGAGTTGTCGACAATAACATCGCTGATCACTTTTTGACATACATAAAATTCAGTCTAGACTTGCCAGATGATGAACCTGTAAGTTTTTATTATAGATCATTAAAAACCATTAATCTTCAGGAGTTTAAGAGGGATCTACTAGATTTACCGTTAAATAACTTACTTTATTTTTGTGACATCGAAGAAAAGCTAAACCTCTTAAATACTATTTAATAAGCATGCGCCGTTAAAACGCTTTAGGAAGAATAAAAACTATAACTATGCGCCTTGGATAACAGAAAACATAAAACTGCTACAAAAGCTGAGAAATAAAGCGCTAAAAAAATTTAAACTGACTAAACTTCCAGCATATTACGAGCATTATAAACAATTACGTAATTATACAAATTCGGCCATTAGATCAGAGAAAAAAGCTTATTTAAAAACTAAGTTTTGTCATGGTAATGCCAAAGAGAAATGGAACGAACTAAGGAAACTTAATGTTGTAAATGTAACAGGGGTACTTTGCCAAGTCACTTAGATAATGTCGATCAAATTAATATTTTTTTTATAAATAGTGTGGAAAATAATGATAGCCCCACTCAAGAACTGCTGAATTTTTATTATAATAATAGGTTAAATGACAGAACGGATCACTTTGACTTTGTATTGTCCACGGAAGATGAGATTCTCATATATATCATTAATACTTCTTTGATGTCCATATATTGCCCCATACATTACGCATATAATAAATGAGTGTATCTTAAATTCGTACTTTCTGTCAACATGGAAGCGGGCACAAGTCATCCCCTTACCGAAAATAAACAATCCAAGCGAATTTAGTCACCTGCGGTTAATTAGCATATTGCCTGTTCTATCTAAAGTACTTGAAAGAATTATGAACGATCAAATGGTAAACTTTTTAAATTCTAATCATATTCTACCAGAGAAACAGTCTGGTTTTAGACCCAATCACGGTTGTGAGAGTGCCATGCTGAACATTACTGATGACATTTTTAGAGCGACTGACGATG